GTAGCAATTGTATACTTGAGGGTGGTTTTTTAGCTAGACCTTGTAGCAATTCATGTCGACTGAGACAAAAATTTAAGAGATTCGAACGCTCGTGGACCTCCCTTGATCTATGTGTGTTGGACGCAACACCCATTTAGCTTTTTGGTAGAGTGGAGTTCCCTCGAGGTATTTTACGCAGAGTATTGGATGGGAGAGAAGAATCGAGGAGTCCAACGTCTCGTTTGTTGCTAATCATCACATTTTATCATGCTCAGTTGTGATGTTAGCAAAATTTAATAAAAAACTTCAGTAGTCTGTGCAAAGGAAATCCACTTTAACGCCGTATAGACACTGAGCGTTAACTTGTTGTCACTATTTTCAAAGCTTGTTGAGATCATATGATTAACCAAATATTTATTATAAATTAAATTTTACCTTGTTAAATAAGTCAAATAATGAGGACCTTAAATTTGTTTGTATTTTATGCTAATTTGATATATTTCATCAAAAAGCCTAATTATATATAAGAAAACTTGTGAAATCATTCATTCCATTTAACCTATGTGGGATATAAAATTGAATTTTTTTATGAAATACTATTTGTTTGATGTTTTAATAATTATTAAATGCTATTACCTTATTGTTTCGAACAGAAAACCAAAAATATACTACCCTACATTATTGTGTAGAATTATTTTTAAAAAATCTTTTTTTGCTATCAGTTGTATTATTATCAAATATGTTTTATCTAATCCTAATGCAAATGATGGTCATTCAACAGATACTGATTATTTACAAAATATATGATTACTCGAAATTTTATACTCCTTCCGTTTCAAAATATAAGTTTTTTTGAAATTTTTTTATGTTTCAAAATATAAGTTGTTTTGAAAATTCCAAGTATTTTTTAATTTTATTGACTAATGTGTGACCAATAGTATTTTGGAGTCGTTTTTTTCATTGGTTAAATTATTTTTATTATATATATAAGATTATACTTTTTAGAAAAAAATTAGTTTTTTAATATTCGCGTTTTTAGCCAAAACAGCTTGTATTTGAAACAGATGGAATATATTAGAATAACTGTAATTGCAACACATCAACTTTCAACTTTCAATGCAAAAAAAAAAAAAAAACACATCAACTTTCAATTTTCTTTTTTAATATATTATGTAATTAATGATTTTTGAATAATGTTATGTGAATGTCTTGATGTTGATTATATCAAAGACGCATCATCAGTCATTTCTCAAATATTATTTTTCT